GGGGCCGTCCAGCGAGTACGTCCGTTTTCTTCTCGTCGGATTTATTCGGCAAGGTACCGATGCTCGGCGCCTGCGAGACTCGGGGTAGGCCACCCCGCGGTGCACGCATGCATTGCAGGCAAGGTGTTGCCTACCCATCAGGCGCTATGAGAGCTTCTGCTCCGCGGGCTGAACTTGGCAGTTTTGTAACGAAGAATGACGGACGTAATTTTTGGGAATGATCACCTAGTCACCTGTCGAATTCCTAAATTCATTTTAACAAAATCGTCTGAATTTTGCTGACAAAATTTTTGCGACAGGAAAGGAGTGAAAGAAAAAACTGACTTGCTTTGCTAAACAGATGAAAGGGCAAAAGCCTCCTGGGCAAAGCTGGGGCCTGCAGGCGGTCGGTAGCCGGAGTGGTTTGACTTGTAGCCTGCCGGAGTGACGTGGCGGGAAGGGGGGGGGGGCTGCCGCGGGGATGGCAAGGCGTGGCTGTTGATGAGAAGATCGGCGCGTCACCGAAGGCCCTACCAAACCATATACCCAGTGGCTTGTTCGCCCCGCCCACTTGCGTGGTTTGACTGTATGCCGCATGAGTGCACGGGTTGCCTGCTGCAGACCCGCGCCCGCACATACAGCCGGGTACAGCAGTACGGATCCGGTATAAGCTCTGAACATCAACGGCGTGCATTGCACAGCGCGCGCACACGGAACACATTCAGGGTGCATGCAGTGTACCGGGTGTATCAGAGCAAATATAACACCCGAGTGTTGAGGTTCTGCATACCCTCTCGGGCTGCAGGGGCCATGACCGCGACCATGGCGCCTCCCGGGCGGAGGGAGTGGGCAAACCTGAAACACTGGGGCGTTTGCTCGGATACACCAGGTACATTAAAAACACTAAATTACAGGTGAAGTGACATTGAAGTTTTCAAGTAAAATTAGTGCTATTGTATGTAAAAGTGGAACAGAGGCTTGTTGTCAACGGCTGCAAACTCTTTCGCAAAATGTCATCCACCCACTGCTAGTGCCGGAAACAAACGTATTATTCCTGCGGTCACACTCTCGGTCACACTTCACTTTTGCCGGCTCCACTCAACCCCAGGCGAATACCTTTCGCACAGCTCGCGCGCCGCCCGCCCTGGCCGCGTGCTTATAATCTGTTGAGCAACTCGCGTGTGCCTCCTGTACCCTGCAGTTTCCACACAAGTCTTAAAACCAAACGACAGGCGGGGCATTTATGTGCCAGCCCTGCCGCGACGAGTGCCTGGCGGCTGGGAGACGAACGGGGCCGGCGGTGGCGCCTCGAGGAGGGAGATGGGACGCCCCTACGCCACCGGCCGGAACGTGACCGTCGTGGCACTGTTTGGCGCGGCGGGGCGCGGCGGGGCGGGGCGTGACCAATGGCCGAGCAAACGATGTAAGCCGGCCTTTACAGGCGCTAATCGATAGGGCGTGGTGGGGCG